CGGCCCAGCGCAGCTGGAGGCTGTCACTCAGAGGGTTGCCCGTGGAGGGGGTTCCAGTGACCGAGGCGCCCAAAGAGTTTAGACATCAGTGACAGATGATGACGTCTGGGAGACTCGCTATGAATTACACACACCAGCCTTGCAGGAAAGTCCCAGGAAGGACACTCACTCCATTGTAACAAGATGGAGAGCGTGAAAATACCTGAGGGGGAGGGCGCGGGACAGGGGCTCAGAGACACAGTGCCCTCCAAGGAGGTCCTCCTTCCACACAGGCCTCTCCAGGTGAGCCAGCACCTCAGGGCCTGCTGCACACACAGACCCCAAGTTCCCTCCCTGAGAGCCTGGGCCTGGTCCGGGTGTGCGGGCCTCCAAGGAGTCCTGCCAGGGCCCAGGGCTGCACTCACCAGGGCACATCTGCGGGCACCTGGAGCCTGGCTCCCTGGCAACTTTCCGACACCGGGGCTCTCAGGGACCTGCGCAGCGGGAAAGTGGGTGCAAGCTGGCGACTCTGGTACTCTGTGCATTGGCTAAAGATCGTTCTTATGAATAAATAAATTCTCTTCCCACTTCACGGGCGGCCTCCTTCCTTGAGGAACCCACCCGCAAAGCTTGGGCTACTTTTCAAGAGCTTCGTTCCCTCCGCACTTTCTAGTTTTAAGCAAGTCGTCATGATAAAATGCCATGTGACGGATGAGTGAATAAGTAAGTGTAGAGGGAAAAACAGAAAACATTATGGCTGCCTGTCTTTTGGCTAGGCACAATGCTAAGCAAGGTAGGAACCCTGAGGCAATGAAAGAATGCTTTAGTTAGATTTGACCTTATAAAAATTTAAACCTTGTATAGAATAATAGATACCATAATTTAAAAAAATAACAGAATGGGAGAAAATGCTTGATTTTTATGCAATATTGAGGAGTTGAAAATGTAAATAATTTAAAGAGTTCTTACAAATCAATATATTCTATCTAATAAAAGAGAAACATGGTAATTAGCATACATCCGCTACCCTTCCCATTGGCTAATCAGTGAGATATGCAAATTAACTGCCAGCCAAGATGGCGGCTGGCAGCCAGGCAGTTTGAAGCGAACATGAGGCTTGCTTGCTTCAGTGATGGAGGAAAACAATGACCCCACCTGCCTTGCCAGCCTCTGAGCTTGCAGTTTGAAA